CCAACATACTGACTTTGTGTGGTTTAAGGCAGGATCTCTCAGGAGTAGCAATGTTGCCAGCTGTGCCAAACATTCTCTCTGAGCTGGTGCTTGTTGCACAAATGCACATGTATTTTTGAGCCAAGTTGGCCATCAAAGGATATCTTTTTTGATTGTCCTGCCACCACACCAAGGGATCAGAAGAGGCATCAAGTGCATCTTCCTGAAGGTACTTATTCAGCTCTTCCTCAGCCTGCACTCTTTTTGAAAATGTAGATTGGGCCTGACTTGTCAGATGAGCTCTTCTGTTTTGAAGGAGGTCACTCAGCCTCCTCTTCTTGGTGGATGCAGCAATGGCTTCCTTGTTTCCTTCAGCAGCTTTGATGCAGCTGTCACCACTTGCATCTTCTTCACTTTCTTCTTGCCTTTTTAAGTCCAGTAGCTCTCTCACAATCTGATGTTTGATCTCATCCAATGTCTCTGCGTCCTCCATGCTGCCACGGTACCTGGGATCCAACATGGTGGCCTTTCTCAGAAGGACTTGGATTGCAGGTGAGCTGCATTTTTCAGTCAGTGTCCTGCGCACGTTTCTTTTAATACTGTCTGTCAGTGCACTGTCATCAGGTCCTGGAGAGAGAAGGTCACCTTTAATCAGTTCCAGCACAGGCTTAAGTGAAGACACTGATATTTTTCCCCTGAGAGGACATCTGTAAAGTCAGCCAGTGGTTTCATTGCTGCGTTGATGGACTCCAGAACAGAAACATCCTGCCAGGTTGGGTTGAGGTGGCCATGTTTTCTGTCTTCAACCAGGACACGTCTTATGGCTGGGAGTTGCTCCAACACCCTCTCTACCATCTTCTGCTTAGTGRCCCATCGTGTGACAACATCCTGTGGGAAAGATAATAATGGCAATGTTATTATTTTTATAACATAATTATTATTTTTGTAATATAATCTATATTTATTATATTATTAGAATATTTTTGTTTTTGTTCATTAGCATGTCTTTTTTTCATACAAGTGCTTTTTCTTTGCCATTATTATTATTAATTTGTCTGCTGCTTGTATATTATATTACTGCCACTGCACACTAAAAGACTACCATTTTAATTTAAATTCTACAGGTTATTTTATAGATCTACAAGCTAATTTATAAAACAAATCCTCTGAATATTTTGTGTTGCAAATGAATGTGAATAAATGATTTAAACATCACTCACCAGTARAAGACTGTGTTGGGGGAGATTAGCCTCACMCTGTGCCTTCKTCAGGTCTCTCCTCTTAAGCCAACTCATGTTGAATGTGTTAACCAAACTTTTACAGAGTCCTATGGCAAGCGCTGTTCGATCTTTGTCGCTGTCCAGACCATGGGATACAGCAAGATGGAGGTTGTGGCCGAAGCAATTGAGCCATTGCCAGCGAAGGTTTCTTATGGCAGCAACAATGTCTGCACCATTGACTGTAGTAATGCAGACTAGTTTGTGCTCATCCAGTCCCCAGTCTTGTAAAGCAGACTTCAGGTTTTCTCCGAGGGTGTCAGCAGTATGGTTTTCTGGGACATATCTGGTCTTTAAACACTTAGTGCAGGGTCCAGTCAGCAGTTATGTAGTGTATGGTCAAGCTCATWTAAGGGGTCATGTTTGAACTTGACCACATATCCGTAGTGGCAGAGTAAAACTGAACATCTTTGAGCTCCTTAAGTATGTCCTCTTTAATGCTGTTGTACAGCTGTGGAATTACCTTTGTGACACGTATGTTTTTCCAGGCAGTTCATACTGGCTGTCAAATGTTTGCAACATGTTTTGAAATGCCGGCTTGTCAACAATAATAAAAAGGTAGCATCTCTTTAGAAATGAAGTAAACCACGCTGTCTGTGAGCGCGCACCACTTCACACTTTCCTTCTTGTWTGTTGCTTGTCGATTAAACGCTCCAGTAATTGTGAACTGTCGGGAAGACGACCCAACATTTTTATTTATTTTCCCCAGCTGGGAAAACTGCATCGGATGATTATGTTTTAGGTGCAGATGCAGATTTGTAGTATTGCTACGTTTCGTGGCTATTTTTTTAGAACAGATTCAACATACCGGCTCGCACAGGTTAAGTGGTTCACCGRGGTCATTGGGTTTGAATCCAAAGTGCTCCCACACTGGAGCTGTTGCGTTCAGCTTCGAAACCAGTTCCACGGTGGAACTTCCACCTCCATTTTTCAGCATCGCCATGTTTTGTTAGCTTATTATGCTACGCTAGCYTGACCACGCGCCTGGCAAATACTAACGCGAGAGTTCACTTGCTTAGAAAACGAGAAGGGGAGGGGTCAGTCAAGCACCCGGAAGCCCAGAGAGGGAGAAAAGCCGAAGAGAACAAACAAACCAAAAGATGAAAATTATCGACCTAATTTTTCTTATCGACCTCCAAATTAATTATCGTGCAATTAATTGATTTATTGCCTATCGCGACAGGCCTATGCCCAAGAGTGAAGTCTTTATCAAAACAATATCAAGGACTCAAACTAAAATTTCCACAGAGCAGAAGCTGAAAGATGACTTTAGGTCAGAGGTCTTAAAATGGTGAAGGTCCCTTAATGCTATACTCACTAGGTAAAGTAAATGCATTTAGCTTTTATATAATTTATTATTGATATGGTTAAGTTCTATTAGAGTTTTAACAAGAAAAAAAATGCCACAGCAAGAGGATCCATCCATTATGTTCCACTTATTCCGTCGGGTCACAGGGCAGCAGCTGAAGCAGGGAGGCCCAGACATTTTATTCCACAGCCACCTCTTCCAGCTCTTCTCAGAGTACTCCCAGGTGTTCTCAGACCAGCTGAGAGACGGTCTCTCCAGCTTTTCCTGGGTCTTCCCTGGAGTKTCCTCCCAGTCAGACATGCCTGAACCACTTCAACTGGGCAACGGCTCTACTCTGCGTCTCTGCAGGGTAACTGAATCTGTCTGAGAGTCCAGCTACCCTCCAGATAAAACTCATTTCAACTACCTGTGTCCATGATCTTGTTCTTTCAGTCACTACCCAAAGTTCGTGGCCATAGGTCAGGGTAGGAACATAGCCCGACCTGTAAACAGAAAGTTTTGCCTTACAGCTCAGCTCCCTCTTCACCAGAACAGACCGGTTCAGAGTCCACAACACTGCAGACGTTACATTGATCCATCTGTCAGTCTCACTCTCCATTCTTCCCTCACTCCTGAACAAAACCCAAGATATTGAACCCAACCCAGAGAGATCAATCCAACCTTTTCTGACTGAGGACCATGGCCTCAGGTTTGGAGGTGCTGATCCTCATTCTTTTCAGCATGAGGATATAATGGGAAATCTTAGTGATGAGTTTTAAATAAATGCTAATTTCCCCACACAGTTTTAACACTGAGCCTACATGCACTCCTCATTTAGATGCAATTATCTCCATCTAAGTTTGGACTGCACTCAGTCCAAGCAGTGAAGTCTGTGCAATGTCRTATAAACATCCCACACAAACAACTGAAAATATGCAAGATGCACTAACAAAGTCTGTAAATTACATCAAATGACCAGAAAAACACAAAGTCTAAGACAACTACAGTGATCCCTCGCTAAAACGCGGTTCACCTTTCACAGTCTCGCTGCTTCACGGGTTTTTTTTTTTGAGTGTGCATAGAAAAAGTCAAACTTTTGGACATGCTAAAGGAAGGTAAAAGCTATGCGGCCGTAGATCGCCATTACGGAATTAATGAATCTTCGGTTCATTCCACAAAGAAGGAGGAAAAAAACACAAGGACGACAGCAGAAATAAGTTTTAACAAGGACGCAAAAAGGGTTGCAAATGTCCGCAACAAGACCATGATAAGGATGGAGTGTGTGTTAGCGTTGTGGATTAATGACTGCAGAAAAAAGAACATTACGCTGGATACCAACGTTGTCTGCACAAAGGCAAAAAAAAACCCAACCTATCAAGCCTTTGCTGACAGCGATGACGGGAGAGATGAGGAGTTGGAGGAGGKGGGGGAGGATGCTGCGGAGTCAGGCCGCAGTGTCACAGTCAGAGGCACAGTAAAATACGTGATTCACAATTTGTCCTAATGCACTTCTCATTATTTTACTGTAAGAAAGTGTTCTATTTGTTAACAAACATGCTTGGGCCTTGTTTCAATATACAGTAGTTGTATGCTGTACATAATAATTGTAATAAATAAAGGTAACTCTACTTCATGGATTTCGCCTATCACGGGTGCATTTTGGAACCTAACCCCCCCGCGAAAGACGAGGGATCACTGTTATCTGTGGTCTGAAATGCTAAGATGAAMTTTTAGCCACTTCTCATTTGCAAAACTATATGGTTAAAACATCAATGTGACAAAAAAAAAACTTACTATAAAACACTAACGTTTTGACAATTTGTGCCAAATTATGAAAGTTTTATTAAAGTTGTCTATGCTGAAGATGGAAAAAAAATCTACTGGAATAAATAATTACAAGGGTAATACGTAATAAGCAGTCATACACACAACTTCCACCAACTTTTAATGGCAGTGCTCTCAGCTCTTCTTCTACTCAGCTCCTTGGCTCATTAATAAAATGTTTTCTGATGCTGTGATTATTAACTGGTGGTCTGTGGACCACTTTGATTTTGTTGAATGGGGGCGACATAAAGATAGATAGATAGATAGATAGATAGATAGATAGATAGATAGATAGATAGATAGATAGATAGATCATTTATCATCGTTTTTACAATTCAGGGCAAGAAAAGACCATATTCATATAAATGAAAAAAAAGTTTATACCACATTTTATAAAAACAATTATTTTTGTTTCTGATTCTTATTATTTTCTAATATTAAAAGGTTTTTAAAAGGTAAGCCTAATGGATTTAACAAAAAGATTCTACTTTAATGCTTGAAGTTGGATTAGTGGCCAGCAGGCTACTAGTATGATTTAATCAACATGTTTTCTTCTTAGTATTAATAGTATTGATCACATATTTGTAAACACACTGGAAAGAAAACTGCTAAAGCTAGCCTTTTTTGTTGTGAGRATATGAAGAAATATTCTCATGTTTGCTTTGGTCAAAGCTTCAACGAGTCGCTTCAGAGGAACCAAAGATCATTGTGTGGCCCAGAGCCGCATGTTGCAGACCCCTGGTATACTGTGACAGTGGTGAGCTGAAAAAAATAGATAGTGGTATACAAGTACTAATGCAGTTTTATGTTGTACAGGCTGACAGACCGAGCTATAGGCTGCGGGCCAATACTAAAACAGCTTTGGGATAACATTTGTAACAACACAAAAATTGTAAGATTATTGACTTGTAATCTGGGAACACTCTCTTAATTTAGCCCAATTTTTTCCTGGACATTATAAACTTTTTACATGTTTAAATTTAAACCAAAAAATGCTGAAAAGGATGACGTGTGTGTATGTGGATTGTTGTGCTTCACGGCTCTGAACCAGCATTGTTCTTAGCTCCCCCCCGGTGTTCAGCTGTTAAACATAAAGGTGAGTGAGATGGAGCCATTAAAACAGTGGAAAAGATTTATGACTAATGTTTAACAGGGACTGGTTTAAATCTCTATTTGATAGCATCCTCACAGTATCCATGTACTGCGTCAGTGA